GATAACATCAAGAGGAGTTACTAAAATGAAACAGAAGTCATTTAGAAACATTCTGCATGCCTTGAAAATGTTTAAGTGTACAGATACCTTATCATGAACTTCTACAACTTTTTTTTCCCCAGCGGGGGAAAAAAAAAGAGACCTGTTTTACAATATTACCAGACAGAGGAATAAAAGGAGAACTACAATTCCTGTATGGTTTGCAAGTGACCCTATGTATCTTTCATAATTTACTAAAAGTTGCACAGGCAACAAATAGCTTTGCTGCTAACCTTTTATACGTGACATACACAACAAATATTAAGAGATGCACATAGCTCATCCAAAAACTGTGTCATCTTGTCTGAAAGTGCTAAAACTTGTGCTATTATGCTTTGCTGCTAACCTTTTATACGTGACATACCGTAAGACATATGAGATCAGATTTTGGCCTCAAGTATTCAAAATATTACAGCATTTTTCATGTCTTTATTATTTTTCAATAAACTGACGGTAATACTAAAAAAATTAAACTTACTATGTACTTTCCTTCTTTGCTGTATGTAGAAAAGATCTAAAACTTTAGAGTTGTTGAAAAGTAAATGAAGGTTCACTGAATATTTCATTGCTTCTGTTCCCGCCCTATTAGAGGCCTAGACATGCTGAACTCTACATTGGTCATCAGCAGGAGCAAACCTTACTGATGATACTGAGGGCTTGCTTCAGCTGTCTGCATCCAAGCAGCTAATGCCACCTGAGCCCCTAAGGTATCCAAAATACCTACACAGTTGACAGAAATGATACAGAACCCACAACCTTACTTACTAAGCAGCAGGTAGAGGCTAAGTCTAATGGCCAGAATGTGTCTCACTTTGCACTTTCTTAAGCACAGGCCAACTAATCCATACACCTTAGCTTTCTACTGATGCCCCTCAGTGGACTAACAGGATAACCAAGAATATATATAACTAAGAATACTTGGTTCACATTTCCCTATCTACATGTAGGAATCTAAATGTGACTCCTGCAGCTCAATTTAGTTGCTTAAAATTTGGCATCTAGTAGCATTTTAGCTACTCACACACATTCTGCCTCATTTCCCAGCTGCCACTTCAGGAAGGAGCTGGTCTCCTCTATCTCTTGAATACCAACACCTTACACTGTACTAGAACCACAAGTACAAACAGTAGGAATCCATCTTGGGAATTCCACAGGTCTGACGTAGCTCAGCTTGCTGCTTTACCTAGTATCACAGGATACATGGTATAAAGACAGACTATGAAGATTATTAATTTCATTGGTTCCCAGTAAGATCCTATTTTGTTAAAAACTGGAAATTTTGTGGGGGGAAAAAAATAATGCTTAGAAAATTACGTGTCCCAACAGCATAATCCATGTTAAAAAAAGGCAAAAAAGCAACTGAAATACAAAGCATAAGCTATCAAGCTTAGCAAGCTCCAAGGGATATGAAGTGCTCAATCTAGCCAACCAGTGCCTCCACAGGTACATGAGGGAGAAGGTTCTGAGGGAAATGACTGAGTATGAAGCAGATGCATTCCACAGAATACCCAGAAGTTCAAAAGACAAAAAGCCATTCTTAAAAGCAATGCTTAGTGGGGAATGCTTTGACAATGTAAGACATCACAACCGAATAAATCAATATGGTGACTGAAGTAGCAACATGAAAGGTGTATCTCACTGGGCCAGCCTTGCAGAAGTCGTGTCTTGTACTGTAAAGTACAGGCTTTTATTTAAAATCTATTACTAAGCAGCAGGAAGTATGGAAATTAATTTTTATTATTATTTTTGTTTCTTGCAGAAATAAAACAATTAATTACTACACTAAAAGGAAAACAGACCTAGGAATGAGAAGCTGATTTAAAATATTCTTATTTTCAGAAATGGTTAAAGATTATCAGGTGTGGTAATGACTTCAATTAATTGTATTTGTTGAAAAATCTGAGAAAACTATAAAAAAAAATCCTTGTTGAACATAGTGGTGAAATTTATAGACCATATATATGCAGACATCCTGATGAGTCAAACTGAAGAGTAATCATTTTGCAACGATTCTCTCTGTGGCAAGCTTGATAGTTTGCCTTACCAAATAGTGATGTGATAATAGCTCCACAACAAGAGGCTATTGCTTGCTGAATCATGGTTGTTTTATCTAAGTTGCTATCAGTCATTTCAGCCATGAGTTTACTCCTGGAGAAGAAAAACCTGTTAAATAACAGAAAAAAATATTGCAAGGTTATGCTCAAAACTTGCAAAAAAATCAAAGGAAAAAATATTTCAAATTTTCACGAAGACATTATCTACTACCAGCAATAATGTAAATATTAGTTTTCTACTGGCATTTAGGCACCTCCATGCATTTTTTAAATTAGCATATTTGCACCATGTTTTGTAAATACTTTAAGTTTTCTAAATGACAATAAATCTTCCATATCCTTCTTCCCTGAATTACAATGCTTAGGGTTGTTTTTTTTTTTGTTAACCACAATAAATACTGATACGTCTTATCTCTTGCTGCAACAAAGGGTTTAGCAGCTTGTAAAAAAGCATACATAGATAAATTCCCAGCCTGCAGAGCAGAACAATTCATCCAGCTCTCCTCCTGCTTCCCTCACTCCTGCGAGAAAATCCAGTCTCCTGGTTGATCCAACAGGCTCAGCCTCGTAGCAATGACTATCCTGGTAAGCTCCTCATGCAACCAACAGTAACTAACTACTATTAATGCTGCCATTAAATGTTAATTCCTTGGCCAAATCCTGCCGCACGGCTGCAAAGGCAAAGTTACCTCAGGAATCTACTCGCAGTACCTCAGCACTCACAGCTTTGTGTGTGAGCTGCAGGAACACTTGTTTTGCTGTTTTCACCGAGTTTCAAACAAAAGAAAGGTTAAGCTGCATAAAGCAGGATTCACCTCTTGGATGCTAAAAACTGCTAATCTGCGGGGAGCCGTCTTTGAAAGAATTTAACTTAAAACATTTCCAGAACAGCACACATCACGCGTTTACAAGCAGCAGCAGCCGGGCTGCCAGCTCCGGGGCAAACCCTTTCGCCACAGAACTGCGAAGCATCCCCGGCTAGGCCCCCCAGCCCCCGCCTCCCGGTACCGCCGAGGCCTGCGAAGCTGCGGCCCGAGGGGATCAGCGGCCTGACCGGCCCTGGAGCCCCGGGGCGCCGATCCCGGGCAGCCCAGGCCTGCCGGCACC